CACTCTGGATGGAGTCCAGCAGGATCTGGGGGCGGGGAGAAGAAATTCCCCCAGTTTGGGGCTCCTAGAGGGCCACTACAACTTGTTCATAAGCATTTGGTGGACACATAAAGGATGTCAGGGTTACACCTGGCAAGTGGCAGGAGGAACATACAGCACATGGGGCACACCAGATGGACCAGGTCACTCCCAGTGGGAGGGAATGCCAGGCAGAGGGATCAGACCACCCCAGCTCCATAGGTGCAGAACAGTCTGCTGAGAGGGCCATGTTATTGTGGCCAAAGCTCTTAAAGAGGAAGGATCTGGGCTGGCTAACGAGCTGGTTAAAACAAGAACTGCCCAACCTTGTAGTGCAAAAAGAGCAGGCAAGAGGGGAAGTGGAGAGGATGATGCTTCTTCATGGTGATAGTAAATAACCCCATCAAAGAGCTGTCCCTGAGCTCCAAAGAAACCTGTCCCCCTGCCACCACCACCCTGGAAGGGTCAGCAATCTGTAGGGTCCAGGAGCAAGCACTCACACCAGTGCTGAACACTGACCTTCTCACCTTGCATGGAGAGAGACAGCAGAGGGGATACTCGCCCACAATCCACCCTCCTCCCTCTGAACACCTGGGTTGGCTTCATCTCTCTAAAGGCACCTACCATGTCTGAACAAGTCACGTGTGAGCTGGTCCCTCTGGGCTCCTTGCAGAGCCGACAGAGAAAGGACATGGGTATGCTCAGATGGGAATCATCTGACCTTCTCTAGAACTCTATGTTGAGATGCAACGAACCATACCCCAACGTGTCCACGCCTCTCCTACGGCAGCAACCCCAAGTGACCAGCCCACACACTGGTCCCACCTTTACTCACACAATCTCTGCACTGAATTGTAAGGTCTGACTTGAAAATACTTGTCAATGAGGAGGGGTCCCAAGGAAAGTGTGCAGAGATGCCTGTTAGATGCCTAAATTGAGGTCGGATCCCAGCGTGGTCAGGAATCCCATCGCTTCTAAGTCTGTTTGGGCGAAGTCAGGAATACAGTGGTGCTAAAAGGAACATGACCAACTTACAGAGTCTGCCTTTCTCCTCAGGAGCTGCTCCTTTGTTTCTGATCCAACAAGGAAGCTGGACGACAACCGTAGCCAGAAGAGAAACAAGCAGTTTATTGTAACTCCAAGCACGTGACAAAAAGGGTCAAAAATCAGTAAGGAAATGGAAGGAGGTGAGCTGCAAGTCAATTAAGATGTCAAACCAAATGACATCAATGCTGTCTTCCAAGTTTATCCCATAGTACCAGTAAAGCCCAGTACCCCTTTCAAAAGTGTCACATAATTTCTACCTCCTAAAACACACTGTTTGGAGGAGGGCAGGCCCAGCCTGGAGGCACAAGTCCAGCAAACTGAAAGCCAACAACTGCAAGATGCCAGTCCAGAAACCACTCGGGACGTGTCCCAAAACTCTCTGCTCATGTCTGTCAGCATTCATAGCATGTCCCCATGGCATCCTTCGTGAGCTTCAAAGGGAGACTGGAGGGTATCTTGTAGGACATGACCCCTTGGGTTGTTTTCTCTGGTCAGTGTAAAGTTTGCCAAGGGCTCGCAGTCTGAAGACTGTATCTAGGACTGGGGCATTTGGCTGTGACATGTCCAAGCCTGAAAACCTTTCCAAGCACTTGCCAAAGGGAACAAAAGCAAAATGCACTGACTCAGCCCTCCCCGTGACGTCTTCGTGACGCCAAGATGGTTACATGGTCTCCTCCAACAAACCAGCTGAGGTGAAAACGGAGAGGGTGATGAAGACTGGCTCTGCATCTGAGCTGCGCCTTTCTAATGCAGCAGACGACCAATCCTCCCCAGCGTGCAATAAAAAGCAGACCTTATGAATGGGGAATACTTATCTCCAAAAGATTATTTTCTTCCCAAGTTACTTTTTGGCAGCACTTAGGTGAATCAGTGCCCAAATTCAGCTACAGCCTCCTGTGAGTAAGGAGAGATAAAGAGGTTACGGCTCACGAGCTGAGCCAAAGCAATGACCTCATGCACTCCTAGCCATGAAGCTTTCAAAACAAAGCCTATTTACCAGTAAAAACAAGCACCCCAGATGAGCCTTGAAAAGATGGGGCAAGAGGAAGCTTCAAAATACCAGTTGTCAATGCTGTCATGAAGGAATTGCGTCCAGCGCTGAAGCGGAGCCAGATTCGCCTGCCTGTGCGTGTCCACGAGATGGCAGAGCACGCCGTGCCACGGAGCTGGCCGAGAGCATCTCCAAGGAGCGGATGCACGCATTCTCCAATTTCAAAACAAAAGGCTGGAGACACGCATTTTTCCCTCAGACAGCTGTGAAGAAAGAGGGGTTCTGGAGGAGGCTATTTTGGTTTTTTGTTTATTTTTTCACCTTTTAATTGCCAAATAGTCACAGGCTTACCTTGCAATAATTTGTTAAAATACCGCTGATAGGTTCCAGCAGCAAAACTCATGTATATATATTAATGTCCAGATATCTAGAATATTCTACTTAACCCACAAGGGGGGTCACTGTGTCTCTCTGTAGAGACACACATACAGACCTGGACGTATACTGGAAATTAGTTCTAGATTGATGTCCTATGTCCATCACACTTTACCATCACAGGAACCCAAATTTCCAAAGCAGCCTTCAAATAAGACTCACGACCTCTCTCAGACTTGGTGCTCCTAATCCTGCTATAGCTGCTGAAGCATTTGGCAGCAAAAGATTTGCATCTGAGTCGCGCAGGAGGATGCTCGGACCAGCCCAGTTGCACTGGAGGATGCTTGGACTAGTTCAGTTGCTCTGCAGGACGCTCGGACCGGCCCCTCTGTCTGTTCATGGCTGCCGTAAGAATCATAGAATCATTTAGGTTGGGAAAGACCTTTAAGATCATCAAGCCCAACCATTCCCCTAACCCTGCCATCCCACCACTAAACCCTGGCCCTAAGCACCTCGCAGTGCTCGACAACCCTTTTGGGGAAGAAATTTTTCCTAATGTCCAACCTAAACCTGCCCTGGCAGTTTCCCTCGTCCCATCGCCCATTACCAGGGAGAAGAGGCCAATCCCCACCTCATTACAGCCTCCTCTCAGGCAGTTGTAGGGAGCGATGAGGGCTCCCCTCAGCCTCCTCTTCTCCAGGTTGAACACCCCCAGCTCCCCCAGCTGCTTCTCGTAAGCCTTGTGCTCCAGACCCCTCACCAGCTTTGATGCTCTCCTCTGGACGTGTTCCAGCAACGCAACGTCTTTCTTGTAGTGAGGGGCCCAGCAACACATGAGATCTTAAACATGGACAGAACAGAGTTTATTTCTCTCCAACCTGAAAAGCCTCTTCTTCGGGTTATGACACAAACATAACCGCAGTGTGGGAAAGCCCCAGGGAAGGTGAAAGATTTTTCTTCCATAGGCTCACAGGAATAATTTCCCTTATGTCCCCGCGCACTGTGCTCCACAGTGCCATTTACAAGGGATGGAGACCAGCAAAATCACTGTCAGCATTGCACGGTCGCATTCGAATCCAGTTAACAATGATATGTCAGGATTAAACCAGCTACCTGCAAGTATTTCACTTGTCAACGCCGAACAAGATAAATCCTCACCCAGAACTACCCAGCTCCTGGTTCCCACAGGCACATATGCATGTACATGCCTAGGTAAGCGAGTCTCCAAAATAACATAGTATTGCATGAGTCTGCCCAGAGGCACAAACAAAACACCAAATGCAGCATTCCCACTAGGTCTTCCAGCTTAGAGCTGCCACACTAAGAATTACACTAGACATTAAGGTATATATTGGTGTTAATTCACCGGAAGCAATGGGCTCAACCTGGTGGTACGACAGGATGAGATGACACCAGACCAGGAGGACCTGGCTTACTTAATAGCTGCCAGTTACCAAAGAAGTTAAATTCTAGAGAAGAACGCACCAAAGATGGTTTGATTCCCCATTTCCAATTACTCCCCAGGGAAAATAACCTTATTTTTCAGAATTACTGGGGTCTGTGTCAGCTGAACCTGATGTTTTCTCCCTGTGACTTAAAGTCCAGACATACCGAGCATGGAACAAACTGAGCAGAAAGCAGCTGCAGGCAGCATTCCTCCCTGCCAAAGTCA